AAATATGGTAGTTCTAGGATTGTACTACTGATAACCTAATCAGGAAAGTGCAGGTGATTATTAAAGGTTCAGTGAGATTAGGGAAGCTGGTAAAATGGAACAAACAATAATAATGGGAGCCTTCGACTATCCTCACATAGACTGAATAAGAACCTCATCAGGGCAAGATGCAGAGATAAAATTTCTGGATGTGATAAATGACTGTTTTGTAGAACAACTCGCCTGGGAACCCACAAGGGAAGAAGCAATTCTAGACCTAAACATGCAGGACCTGGTTCAAGAGGTATCAGTTGGTGAGCCACTGTGTAATAGCAACTATAACATAATCACATTCAACATTTTAGCAGGAGGGAGTAAGCCAGAAAAGTCTACCATGCCAATATGCAACTTTAGGAAGAGTAATTGCACAAAAATGAGGAAATTAGGAAGAAGTTTAAAAGAGCATTCAAAAAACATAAAACACCTGCAGGTAGCTTAGAAGCTGTTTAAAAATACCATAGCAGCGGCTCAGGAAAAGCCTGCATCACAAATTGAATAAGGGAACCAGCAGACCACTAAAACCCCTGCGTGGTTTAATAGGGAGTTAAGGAGGCCCTCCAAGGCAAAAAGCATCCTTCAAAAAATGGAAGGCATACCTAAATGAGAAAAACAGGAAGGCTCACAAAATAGGGCAGGTCAAATATAAAAGTGAACTAAGGCAGGCCAAAACATAATTTAAGGAGGATCTAGCAAAAGATACTAAATTTAATAATAAAAACTTTAAAAAATGCATCAGAAGCAGGAAGCCAGCTAGAGAATTGGTGGGACTATTATATGTCCAGAATGTAAAAGATGCCCTTAGGGATGACAAGACCACAACAGAGAAGCTAAGTGAATTCTTTGCATTGGTGTTTATCACAGAAGATACTGGGGAAATTCCCAAGCTAGGTCAATTCTTTGTAGTAGATAGGTCTGAAGAGTTGGACCATGTTAAAGTCACAACAGAAGAAGTTTTAGAACATGTTAAACAAAAGGAAATGCTGATAAGTCACCAGGACTGGATGGCATTCACCCAAGAGTTCTGAAGGAATACAAAAGGTGAAATTATAAAACTTGGTGATACTTAATATATTAAAACTATTGTTACAAATGGCCTCTGTGCCAAAGGACTGATGGCTTGCCAGTGTGATACCCACCTTCAAAAAGAACCCTTGAGGTGATCCCGAGAACAACAGACCATTCATTGAGTCTCGCTTCATCCCTAGCAAGTTGGTAGAATTTATAATACAGAATAAAATTGGCAGTCACATAGAGAAACAGGATCTATTAGGGAAGAGGCAGCATGGTTTTTTGTAAAGGGAAGTCCTGCCTTATCAATCTGCTGGAGTTCTTTGTGGGTATCAGCAAGCACGGGAACAAAGGGGATCCAGTTGACGATATATTTGGACTTTCAGATGCCAAAGGCTTAAAAAAAGCAAAAACAAACTTCTCTAGATTAGTAAAGTCAAGGTATATGATATTCACTGCTCTTCCTCCTGCCTTGCCTCCATCCACAAAGCCAGTCACCTTGTCATAGAATGAAATCAAGTTGGTTAAGCTGGATTTCATCTTGACAAACCTTTGTTGGCTGTTTCTTATCACTTTATTTTCTGTATGCTTAGAAATAAATTCCTTGAAGTTCTTCAGTCTCTTTCTGGGTATCAGGGTTAGATTGACGTTATAATATGGATTTTATTTTACTTTAAAATTTTAGTGTTGTACATCAGATTTTTAAAGTTTGACAGATGTAAGTCTGATTTAGTATGAAGTGCTATCAGAGTGTACACTAAAGCTTTTTAGGTTTTGTTTTCTCTCTCCTCTCTTGTATTCCACATGTACTGTCCATTTTAAAGACAAGATTTAAATTAGAATGCTGTAGGGACTGTGGCATTTTTTCATTGACCCTATGTTGAGGATATCTTGTTATGACAGTGCTAATTTAGATTATTTCCCTAGTTGATTGTGTCATCTCATAGTTTAATGTCTAAATTAGGAACTGTTACTGAAAGGAAATTAATTTTGAAAGGTTTCATTTGAGCATTTCTTTAGCTCCACTCATTGGTTGGACCAGGGATCGGCAACATTTTTTGTGGAAAGTGCCAAAAAACCTGGCAAACTGGAGTTTGAAGATGTTGGTGTGCCGGGGTGGATGGCAGGGAGCCACGACAGGGCCTGATCATGGCAGCACAGTCCCGGCCCCTTCCCCGCCATCCTACTTGGCACATGTGTAGCCACCCAGCAACAAGCGGGGCCAGTGCTGCCGCTTGCAGACTTGCAGCTACCAGGGATCCCGGGCTGCTCATAGGAGAGAGCCACGAGCCTGAATGTAGCTGCTCTGGGGTCTAGAGCCCTACCCTGCTTGTTGTCAGTGGAGGCTGCAGGCATGTCTTGGGGAGCACAGTGGGGAAGGGGCTGGGGCACTGAGGTGAAGGGTGTAGCCCCTTCCCTGCTGCAGGCTAGGTGCTGGTGGCATGCTCAGAGACAATGCAGACCCCACCCAGACCCATTGGGCTGCGGAGGGGAAAAGAGCCGTGGCCCGTGTTTGTGCTACCCCGCAGCAGCAGCCTGGCTTCCAGCTCAGTGCAGCTGGAGCAGAGGCTGGCAGTGTGGTTAGGTATGGCCTGCTGGCAAGTGGGCATGAGAGGAGCCCCCTGGGGCCACCCATCCCAGTCACCCCTGCAGCACTGCCCCCACCTGCGAGTACTTTCCTTTGGACTTGCAGTCCGGCCAAGGGCTATACATGTTCAGATGTTTCAAGTGCTCTAATTCATAAAAAGAATAGCTAAATAGTTTGTAGTTTTACTAGTTAAATCTTTGAGAGGAAAATAATATATAGGCTATCAAATATTTTATCTTTTTTATTTTTAAGCTAAATTTAATAATACTTTGTAGACACAATAGAAAATTTATTTTCAAATGTGAGGCATTTGTTAAAATAAATTTAACTCTAAATTCAGTTAATTAGTTAATTCTTCAACTAACCCTGTTTGTTTTAAGGATAAAGATGGTAAATATGTCAGCAACAGAGATGTCTTCGTATACATACCTCAGTTTCCAATATGCTTCACCAGACAGACAAAGAATTTAAGTCCAACTAATTATCGAATATGTAAGGTCTTGATTTGGGGAAGCTGCCTATTTATTAAATGGTAATGATTAATTCTGCACAGTCATTCTGTTTTTATCCCTCTTGTTACATTTAAGTAGATTTATTACAACTCTGGATGTCGGAGATAAGCCAAAACTTTCCCAATGCAAGAAGCCTATTACTAGGGAGGGAGCAGGGTTCAGTTTAGGACTTACTGATGGCAGGCTTAAAGAATCTTTTATTTATTGATGTGGTATTTTATTTGATACTACAGGGTCAAGAGAAGTATGGATTATTAAATGTGACAAAAATTACAGAAAATGGGAAAAAAGTTCGGTAAGTCTATACTTCAATTTGATTTTCTTGGTCTTTGTTTTATTGATATATGAATTGGGTAGTTATCAGTGTAAATAATAGTTGAATAAATATTATGATTTTCATATTAGTAATTATTGCTAAACAGGTTTTTAATATCTTGTTTCCAGGTGGAATTTGTTATAATTTTGTGTAAATTTGCCTCAGAGTTTCACTTGGAGTGGAGATGCAGCATTTTCCCTACTGCAATATTAATGATCTTCTCAATAGGCTGAAGACACCTAGGCTTTTAACAGTGGTACTCTGGTATCTAAAGCCCTTGCTGAAGCTTTGTATTACTTGAAAGTACTCAATTATACTTTGGCTGCTATAATATCCTGAGGCTATTAATAATCCAAAGTTTCACCTAAATAGTTTTTGGTGTGATTACCCATTATTCACTTCCTAATGTCAGTATCAGTTGATAGTTTAACTAGAAATTTGTTGCCTTTCAAATTGCTCTACCCCAGGTTTGGCTGTACCCAGCCTGTTGGGCTACCAGGGGACCACTGGAAATAGGGGAAGAGGGCTGCTGTAGAATCCCAGGGTCTTCAGCAATCAGCAGCAGGAAGGCGGGCAAGGGCTGGCACAACCCCAGGCTCCCTCCAGCTACTTTGACTATCACCACCACTGTGGCCCCAGCTAATCAGTTGCCTGCCCCACTGACCTGTGCTAAACCCGGAGCTGGAGTCATCACCAGTGCTTCATGCCAGAGTTCCTGCCCTGGCACAAAATCTGTGTTTGGCTGCAGGTGCTCCATCTCTGGTATGGAGCATGTGGCTAGAGCTGGAGTTACTGCTGCCACCACATGCATCTGACAGGGGCTGGAGCTGCTGTCACTGCCAGCAGAGCCATCCCATTCCCTGGACTGGATCTGGAACTGGCCTGGGGCCTTGATAGATTTTTTTCAGTACCAAGCTTAATTTATTTTTCAACACTGTTTTACAAGTATTTTTCTGGGAACAAACTATGAAATAGAGCCAGGCAGCAGCAGGCTCAGCTATGAAATAGTTAATTGTGTTGAGAAATGGAGGCAGTTCACATATTTTAAAGGTGCCCCGTGGCACCAGAACTACAGAATTGGTGTTTGAAGGATATTAGTTCATAATTCTCACTTGAACAAAACTTTTTTAAAAAAAAGAACGAAAGATGAAATGTTTTAGAAATCAGTAAGCTACCAAAGGAGTGCCAATCTGCTGTGTGCCTAGAATATGGACTATTGTATATAACTTTTAAACTAGATGAGTTATTTCTTCCGAGTTTCTCGGATTTTTTATTTAGTGCCACCCATACAGTTTATAATTTAAATGTATAATAAATACACAGATGTAATGAGGCAGAAGTTTGGGGATTTTAGCCTCTTTAAAGTATATAATCTATATATAAGTACATTTTTTCTAGTTAATTGATGCAGTATTCTTCCAGCAGTATTCTGAATGTTAACATCTTTAAACTTGCATGCATTTTTTCCTGGCAGATCTTTGAAGTGAAATGGCCTAGGTCTAGTGTTTTCTTCAGTTTCATGGATTTTTGCTTAGAAAGAAGTAATTTGGCCATCTTATCTCTGAAAATAGCTAAATCCTAACTGTTAGCTCATACTTGCACAAAGAAGACAAGGACTTCAGGGTGCTGACAGACATGAAAAAAAAAAAGCGCTTTATCGGAAGGGGCAGCATGTTAATTCAACCTGGCTCCACAGCATCTGTATAAATTGGGTGATTCAGTGGGGCTTTTTGGCACTTTTATCTAATAGCTGATTCAGTTGATAAAAGTGCCAAAAGCCCCGCTGAAGTGCCCAATCTATATAGATATTGGGCAAGCCGGGTCCAGCTAACGCAATGCCTCTTTTGGGCATGTACTGCTTTCAGCACTGGGGCATGCCCATCTTAAAATAAATCTCCATTTTGTGGGGGAGGGATTCCCCACATCTGTAAGAAGACTAAAATGTTTTTAGCTATAAAGGGACAGTGTGGGGCGGGGTGTAGGGGGTGCTGAAGGATGAGTATGGATTTGTTATGCTGTTGAAATAGCTCGCCTCTCTTTTCTGCATGTAAATTCTCAAAAGAAATATCCTTTTATTACACATGTAAGTTAATTTGTGTCAGATGTGGAATGCTTGGATTCTTTGCTGGTATGGGCTACAGTGCCTTGTTAATCTCAAAATGATGCAGTGTTTTGATATAGTCTATTTAGTATTTAGCAGTTTGGGCATAATTATACAGTGGTTTTTTTTCTAGTGAAACTGATAGCTTTCACTGCTGTTTAGGTCCATCTGATTTGGAAACTTTGGCCAGCTTGGGACTATTTAATACAAATTCCTCTCTGTAAACATATTAGTAATTCAGACTTACTGATATTGCTAATGATCATTGCAATCATTACATTGTTAATTAACATGCAAGTCTGCTCTTCAGCAGAGGGCAGATTTTGAAGTAGTTTCATTTTATTTGGAAACAAATATAAATATTAGTCATTTTAATTGCAGGAAAAACTGGACGTCATCATGGGCAGTGTTACAAGGTTCGTCATTATTGTTCACTAAAACCCAAGGAAGTGGAACTGGCTGGGTAAGTGCTTTGCCTATTCATCTCTTTGCTTGATTTAATTGTCTTTCTGATTATGCAAAGTATATTGCAGCTGTCATCTGAAGGGTTGACAATAACAAAATATATGCATGTAGAAATGAGAATAATAAGGGAGGGGAAGAGTAGTGTAAATACAATTTGTGATGCAGCATCAGAAGCAATCCAAATGTCTTTTTGCCCCCTTGTATTTGGATATCTTATGAATCACTCACCAGGTCTAATTGAGAAACTTATAAAAGGTTTTTCAACTGTCTTTAAGTTTGTCTGACCTGAACTGAAAGATAGCATGTGCTCCAGACCAAATATGTCCTTGATCTTTCTCACCAATGGGTTTATTTAAATTGGATTCTGTTTGGTCTGTCTCAGTTTAGTTTCCTGAAGAGATTATTTTCACAGCTGAAGGCAAGTTGAATGTGCTGTCGTTAATACGATGCAATAACCTCCCTACTATTGCACTGGAAGTTATGAATAATCACTAATGGCTTACGTAGGATTGATGAGATAATAGGATCTTGTGGGTAAATCAATGTGAAACCAGGTAAAGTCCAGGGAGAAGGCAGAACTTTAATGTTTGGTCATATTATAATCCATGCTTTATCACACTTCTGCTTTGTTTTGTGTCTGTACATTGCGAGTAAAATGTTCATATCCAGTTGACAGTCGATGTGAGAGGCACCATTTGACGATATCCTGAGACTGACAAATTATATATGCTCCAAGCTTAGTAACAGTTATAGTTACACTGACTATGAATTTATTTGACTTTGGGCATAGAAGCAGTCTTTCAAAACATTTTCTGAAGCTTCATATTTTAAATGATATCTAGCCCTATTTTGAGTCTAAAGAGCAGTTTGATGAACAGAGATTGTATTTGACTGGCGTGTTCATGCTCCCTGGAGCTTTTTTGTTCTCTCTTCTTTCTGCTGTTTGGCTATTTCTGAGCAGGGAATTGATATTGACAGTATTTTTGAAGCCTTTCAAGAGATCAGAAATTTCGTCAGTTCTTGTCCTTCTGTTGCTAACTCCAGTACTTAAGTAGAGTGGAAAGTTGCAGGAAATGAGTAAGGACCTCAGAGAAATACCAGTAGGAGAGGTCTAAAGCAATTGGGATGGACCAGGAGGTATTAGGAAGGAAAGCCTAAATAAATAGGGGGTGGAAGAAAAGCAGAAGAGGAAAATGAATAAGGCAATATTTAATTAGATTACATTGGTAGAGAGTGGACATTGAGGTGTGTACTGCAATATGCATTGGTAGCAGACACTGGAGGGAGAAGTGCACAGAAAAGGAAATAGAAAGCCAATCTAACACGGACAAAAAAAATAAAGGGAGCAAATTCAATTGTGTGTGTGTGTGTGCATTGTGGCTAGGGACAGAAATTACACACAAATCAATATAAGTAATTGGAAACTGGTTTGAATCTGTAACACAACAGAAGTTCAGCGTACATCAATTGCTTTCAAAATGGTTGAAATA